AACAAAGAAACAATTCCAAAATAAAAGTTTATCATTATATTAGAAATAGTTTTTTTAAATACATGAATTTTTATCAACCTGTCACTTCCATGATATTATCCTTTATATGCCTCCAATTTTTAAATACTATACATGAATTACGAAAATTTAAATATATATATATACACTTATCTCCCAGAGTTGCATTTAAAAAATTGGCAAGCCTATACAACACATATGAGCAGCGTCGGTATGCGCGGGAAAGGCATCAGATTTCAGTTTGGAACCATAAATTGCAACATGAATTTTGCCCCACTGTGGCTGTTCTGAGCTGAAAAGTGACGTTTCCAAGTTAACTATCATCCACAGGTGGGAATAACTGTTATAAGCATCTTACGAAATAAAACTTGGTAAACATAAGTATTTAGTAATATTTTTAAGAGAAAGTCTTTTTTTTTATAATCACATTGTGCAGTAAGAAAAATGATGATTAAATAAATACAGCCTCAACTAGCAGTAATGATCCAATATGAAATCAAGCTGAAATTGAAAAATTATCAAGTCTAGCTATTAACTACTCACAGGATATTGCTTTGTAGCCAGGTATAATTACCGACAAATTTATTGATCATTACATAATAAATAAATCCGAAAATATTGGAGACACGAGTATTAAGATCGTGACAGAAGATATTGTTACGCCTCTGTGTTCGTTTATTAATTTTCCGTAAAAATTATTTCCGAAGAAACTTTAGTGATACAATTCCTTTCTTAAATAAAACTAGTTTATTCTTTCTCAATGCAACTTTGCAATACACTTAATTTCCACAGTCATGCTATAACTTAAACAAACGCCATAATTCACAACGAACGATTCACGCGCTTGACTTAATTGTCCGTCTCTATCTCTGTCTGCAATTCAATTCCATTGTTCCCGTCACTTCTTGGCGGTCTTATATACAAAAATACCGCACATTTAGTAAACACTCGAGCATTCACGAACCTTCGAGAATATCATGATGTGTTACTAGCGTCACGTGACTTCCGCTGTCGTAACAATATTTTAGAAGTTTGTAAGAACAGCGTTTTTACCGACTGATGTAAAATGGTAAAAAAAAACAAAAAATGAATTGTCTGTCTCTAGCACTTACAAGCAAATGTATGTATTGTTACGTTTGCAAATTATTCCCAAATAAAAACGTAAGCCTTGCAAATAAATTTATAAAAGGTTTTTTGTGATTGAAGAAACGTACATTGGAAACTGCCTGAGCATGAAATATCTAAAGATCACATATCTGCTGTGTGCAAATATTTAAGATGTTGTTCTAATTTCAGTCGTATTAACTCCGAAATGAGAAAACAGATGAACAAAGGATATTGGCATGAAGTTTTGAAACGTGTGTTGTAAAATTGTTGTATAAATTAGGATTTAGAGGCAACGACGAGAGTTTAAATTCAAAAACAGAAATAATTATTTATATTTTCTTGAATAACTTAGCGAGTTTGATTTTTTTTAAATCATTTGGAACGCTATAATTATCGGGGTCAGGAAATACAAATTATTTGTCACATCAAACTTGTGATGCGTTTTTTAAAATAATGGGAAATAACCTTCAGCTTCAATTCACGAACGAAGCTAAAAGTACAATTTATTTTTCCTGAGTTATTGATTTAACACCGAACATCAGTTGTCATATTGATCAACTTATCTTTATAATAAGATATATTGGGAAAAACTGGCAAATCGTAGAAAGATGTTCTGGATTTATTTTTATAAAATCTCACACTGCCGAAAATGTAGAAGTAGTTGCGCTAAATGCCTTGCAAGTATTAAATCTAGACATTAAAAACTGTAGCGGACAAACCTACGATAATGATATATAAACTACAATCTGTGAATTTTAGTTGATAACAATCACACTTTTTACGTGAATATTTCATTTCAACACAGTTGAAATATCTTGTAACAAAAGTGTATTTTATTCCATATATAGCGTTAGTCTTTTTGTTACTTTTATCCTTCCACGAAATTCACTACCAACTGCCCAAAATTTCAACATTATCTTACTAGGTACATTGTATTTTCAAATAATAACTTCCAGGTAAGTTCTCACGGTTAGCTTCGTATCACAAAATTTTAACATGTTAGATCAAATATTTCATCTCCAAGCACATATTGGTTACTACTGTGTTTATTCTGTAATTGATTCGTTCGTGATTGGTTTTACGTGATGCTTATAAATGTTGCAAGACGACACTTATCTATTTTTATATTTATATTGCTATACACATATACTATCATTACACATTGTCACGTGCTGTAATAGTTTATAACCGACTTCCTCTGGCTCCCACGTAAATTAATCGGTCATCTTCTCGTTTGTCTTCCGAAGTTACTTCTCAGTAAGTGAAGTGCTGCCATCTAGAAGCCGTCAAACTCAACTCGTTTTTTCATTTCAGACGTCACGAAGTTAATTATATATCACTGGCAGAATTCAATTGAACTAAGACTTTTCAGCTAAATTTTTCGTCGGACAGGAAAATACTCGTGTTGTTATTATTGTATGCCAACTTATAACCAGAGGAAACAATTCCCTCACGTATTTAGTGAAAAATTAAGTAAATTGTAGAAATTTGAATGATACAGTTCATTACAGAAATTATATACTCCTGATGAAGAACGTTGATCAAATAAAATAATTTGTAAGATTCTCTGAAGTTCACGGTCGTTTGATTTATTTGTAATCAGTAAAACAATAAAAATTAACTAGTTTTGTTTTTTGACACCAGGTGGAAATTATTTCTTCCTTTACTCCAACCCTGCCACATGGTTGCATTTCTTGGAACTTTATTCAATATTTCATCATTATTGTTTTGTGATACAACAAAAAGTCTACGTCATTATTATTGGAGGTAAAGCACCTTTTAAGATATGTTTCTAGTAAAAAAATAGAAGTATTATAAGCTACATGTATATATATATATAATTTGTGACATACTGCACTGAGTAATCTACTTGTAAAGCTCTTCCCTCACCGTTTTAAAATCAAATTCAGTGTCTCATTAATAAGTGTTATAGTGCTAGTAATACTGATCTTATAGATAATAGAGTATAAATCGTGTAAATTATATTTTTACAGTGGTCTTACTCAATGTTATGTAGACTATGTTCATTGTATATATGTATTAGAATCCACGTATGGCTAAATTTATTACTGTAACTATTGCTAATAGTAACACAACATTATCAGAGTGTAGCTTTAATACTAGTGCTAGTAATGTGAAAATAAAATTATTTCAAAAAGTAATTCGGGAAATGTTAATTAGAAAAAGTAAGACACTATAAAGAGCTACAAGAACTTTTAACTAACCCACAATTCCTTTTAATTTAATGTAAGAATAACTATGACATAATGTTTCCTGGTCCCATAACTTTACAAAATAGAAATTGAAACAGTGAAAACTTTTCCAATACACGTTAAAACTGATCAGGCTTTGGCCTTAGCACAACTGCTAGACAATGTATTTTACCATGCTTAAGCTTCTTTTCTCATGTAGACCTACATTCAGTTGTGACTAACTTCACAAAGTATATGTTTGTAGTTATCCAGTACTTATTTTATTTGGAAGTACTGGTTTTTTTATTATTCAATGAGAAGCTATAATTTAATTTTCAGAAATAAAACATAATTGTAATAATAATAATAATATACTTAAAATGCAATTTCGGTGTTTATGCTTCTGTCAGAATAAGATTACTCGAGGCAAAGTTTGCTCTTAATGTGATAAATAATTAAGTAATTACCCTTTAGTTAGGTTTGTATCAAACGAGCAGAGCTCAAGAAATTTACAAATAAGAGGTATTGACTCAACCACAATATTGTGAAACTAACAAGTTTGCTTTAAGCTGTTTATTATCAGAGTTTGTTTCATTAGTAATTACATCATGTATTATGAATGATGACAAAACCTTGTCGAAACGTTGTACATTTGCTGTTATGTTAGACTTATATTAAAGTTTTTCTTCATTACCCATTCAAGCCGTCTCCAGCCATTATTAGTCTCAAAGTGGGTTCCTCGTCATCAAATACGAAAATGTACATGAACTTTCTTTTTATGTAGCGTAACATTCCCAAACTTAATTTCATGTGTCACTTGTCCTGTTGATGCACCCTTTGATATGTGTATGCTTGGCACATTGCTTGAATAAATTATAATAAACCTTTCTCTTGTATTATGTTGATAACAGTTTCTAAGGATGAAAGTTTTTTTATTAAATTTATTGCTAAAACTTCTCCAATACTTACTATTTAGGACAGTAGTTATTTGTATTTCCAGAACTTCATTCTACAGTAGAAATTGTTGTTATTTACTTTTATTATATATGGTTATAGAAAGTTAGTGTACTTTGACAACATTTTCACTGAACGTTGTGTTTATCTTGATCAGCAAAATAAAATGCATTATTTTTTTTTTTTTGTATTCAAATGTAAATGTATCTTTTTTTTTTCATGTAAACTTTGTGTCCATGATATATTTGTATCATAAGATTATTTTGTTTTAAGCCATGCCCCTCTCGTGTCGATTCTATGGCCAGCGATACCCAGAAATTGAAGATGTTGTCATGGTAAATGTTCGATCAATTGCCGAGATGGGTGCTTACGTGCATCTTCTAGAGTACAACAATATCGAAGGGATGATCCTCTTGTCTGAGTTGTCACGAAGACGTATTCGATCCATCAACAAGTTGATCCGAGTGGGTCGAAGTGAATGTGTGGTCGTTATCAGAGTGGATAAAGACCGGTGATTTTTAACTTCCAAGTAACCCGAATTCCTCAAACGACTCGTCTTACTTCTTTCTTCAATAATAAATCTACAAATATTGCTAATGTTTAAGAAAAGATAACCAACCAGCAGGGATAAGAAAGCTTACGTAATTAGAGCATATCAGTAACACTTCCATAACAACCACGCCAGGTTCGTTTTAGTTATTTCTTCTAGGAAAACATTTACTATCAGGTTCTTGAGATTGAAAACACTTGAAAAAAAAATCAAAATAACTTTATTGTTTAAAAGTACATTATTTTTTACCCTTTATACGGCTAGAAAGTTATTACTGTCTATGATGCAGCCAGCAATGAAAGCATCTCAGAAATCATGAGTGATTCTTTAAAATCCCTCCTGCCTATAAGATATAATAAATCAGAAAATCTATTAACTGATATCTGTAGCTTCGTTTTTGTAAATCACTTTTAGATATTACAAAAACAGTAATTCCAGAAATAGAAGATGTAAAATATATTAATAAAACATGCTAGTTTCTCAAAGTTACCATATTTTCCCCGGAGTATTAGCATTCACCTAATGTCACATCGTGTTCCATAGAAAATCACAGGGTCTATGAACAAGAATTTAACAGAATCTTGTTGTGTTAGGAGTTCTAGACATTAAGATGTTAATCATCACTATACAAGCATAATATTATTTAAACTGTTTGTTTTTATCGCTCCATGTGCATAATGACATAAGCTAAATATAAACTAGATGCTGTGATAATGGATTAAGAAATTTGGTCATCAATATTTGTAGTTATGTACAAGATTATAAATGTACATGTGAAATTCTCTATGCGAGTTTTAAATGTAAAATTTAATTTATAATGTTGAAATGTTTCAAAAACTTCCTTGTTGAATTCCTCAACAGCTTGGTAGATAACAATTGGTTGTTAGAGAATGTTCTGGTTACTTGTTATTTGGTAGCCTGGTTGTTAGAGAATGTTCTGGTTACTCGTTATTTGGTAGCCTGGTTGTTAGAGAATGTTCTGGTTACTTGTTATTTGGTAGTCTGGTTGTTAGAGAATATTCTGGTTACTCGTTATTTGGTAGCCTGGTTGTTATAGAATGTTCTGGTTACTTGTTATTTGGTAGTCTGGTTGTTAGAGAATATTCTGGTTACTCGTTATTTGGTAGCCTGGTTGTTAGAGAATGTTCTGGTTACTTGTTATTTGGTAGTCTGGTTGTTAGAGAATATTCTGGTTACTCGTTATTTGGTAGCCTGGTTGTTAGAGAATGTTCTGGTTACTTGTTATTTGGTAGCCTGGTTGTTAGAGAATGTTCTGGTTACTTGTTATTTGGTAGCCTGGTTGTTAGAGAATGTTCTGGTTACTTGTTATTTGGTAGCCTGGTTGTTAGAAATGTTCTGGTTACTTGTTATTTGGTAGCCTAATTGTTAGAGAATGTTCTGGTTACTTGTTATTTGGTAGCCTGGTTGTTAGAGAATGTTCTGGTTACTTGTTATTTGGTAGCCTGGTTGTTAGAGAATGTTCTGGTTACTTGTTATTTGATAGCCTGGTTGTTGACTAGCGGGTCTATAGTTCCACATGTATTGTAAAGTGCTTGCTGTTGGAGAAAGAAATCCTTAATGTTATTATTATTTAAATGTAGGATATATTGACTTGTCAAAAAGACGTGTCTCGCCAGAAGATATCGTGAAATGTGAAGAAAAATTTGCAAAGGCAAAAGCTGTAAGTACAAGTAGGAAGTAACTAAACACTAGAGTCCATTAATAAATGCATAGCTAACATTTCCTACCATTCATCATTTAAATTATCATATCCTAGTTCAAAATGTATTGATTTTTATTAATGTTTGAACTGCAAACTGTGTGTATGAATATTTAAGTGTAATCTATTGTCCATAACTGAGATAGTTTTACAGATTCAAAAAGAATACTTTGTTATAATTAGTTATAGGTTATTTTATAAAATGTGGAAGGTTCGAGAAATGTTGAACTAATGTATAGTATACCAAGATTAGGTTGTACTCCTTGGCAAGTGACAATTCAATCAATAAAGACTTTGTTGACCAGATTCTAGTATTGTGGCTAATAATGGCCAGATTTTGGCATTGTGCCTAACCATTACTCGTGGTTGGCCAGATCCTCGTATTGTGACTAACCATTACTTCTGGTTGGCCAGATCCTCGTATTGTGACTAACCCTTACTTGTGGTTGGCCAGATCCTCGTATTGTGACTAACCCTTACTTGTGATTGGTCAGATCCTCGTATTGTGACTAACCCTTACTCGTGATTGGTCAGATCCTCGTATTGTGACTAACCGTTACTTCTGGTTGGCCAGATCCTCGTATTGTGACTAACCGTTACTCGTGGTTGGTCAGATCCTCGTATTGTGACTACCCCTTACTCGTGATTGGTCAGATCCTCGTATTGTGACTAACCGTTACTTCTGGTTGGCCAGATCCTCGTATTGTGACTAACCCTTACTCGTGGTTGGCCAGATCGTCGTATTGTGACTAACCCTCACTCATGGTTGGCCAGATCGTTGTATTGTGACTAACCGTTACTCATGGTTGGCCAGATCCTCGTATGTGATATAGATCTCCAACACTCTACTCTGATAACAGAGGTGCTGATTTCTTTTCTATGTCAAAGAAAATCCTTTGTGTCAGTAATTTATTGTTTAGAAAAGTGTGTTGGTTGTTATAGTAACAGCACTGGCTTGAGCTTGATCGTATTGAGTTAAGCCTTTTATTATTATTAGTGTAAGGGTACAGAGAAAACAGGAAATTCTGTGGTGTCTAACTTCACCACGAATGTGATTAGTAAAGGTTACAAAAAAACCAAAGTATTTTACAAGCGTACTGTTTCAGGTGGTTATTTAAAAGAAGTTGCAACATGTTTAAATATTGTTGTGGGATGTAAACAGAAGTAATCTGTGGATTGTAGAAGCACAGCACATCTTCAAGTCAGATGTAGTTAATCTGATGACAGAAGGTTACTGATAATTTATCAGTTAAGTGGAAGTACCTGCGAGCTAAGAAGCATATGATATGTGAGAATGTACAGATGTTTCAAGAGGTCTTAAACAAGTAATCTATTCAGGAGATCTAAGCCTTAGATCCAAACAAGCGATAAAAATGAGACCTAAGCCTCTCCCCGAAAAAATTATTTGTTAATCTTGTGACAACAAAAAGTGTAATTTTTTAATAAATAATTATTCTTAACTGTTAAAATGTAATTTAGATGTTGCTCTTATCTATCATATGTATTTTTTGTCACAATTATAAGGGAAGACTTAAGTTGAAAGAAACTGGACAGATTTTTGATGTGAAAGAATTCTGTGACATCAATGTGGTCAGTACTAAGAACCCCATTACATTTCTAGGTGAACAGCATTTTAAGACACGTGGCAGGGATCTTGGGTTATGATGATCAACAACTGGAAACTCTCTACAAGAAGACTGCTTGGTATTTTGATGAGAAGTTAAAGAAAGCTGCAAGCTCTTTCGATGTTTTCAAGCATGCTGTATCGTAAGTTAATAAGACTGTGTCTATTTTTATCAAGTATGCTGTATCGTAAGTTAATAAGACTGTGTCTATTTTTTATCAAGTATGCTGTATCGTAAGTTAATAAGACTGTGTCTATTTTTATCAAGTATGCTGTATTGTAAGTTAATAAGACTGTGTGTCTATTTTTATCAAGTATGCTGTATCATAAGTTAATAAGACTGTGTCTATTTTTATCAAGCATGCTGTATCGTAAGTTAATAAGACTGTGTCTATTTTTATCAAGTATGCTGTATCATAAGTTAATAAGACTGTGTCTATTTTTATCAAGTATGCTGTATCGTAAGTTAATAAGACCATGTGTTTATTTTTACTATGATTTTTTTAAATGTGGATTATTTTTAAATGTTGATGTTTCATCACTGCCCTAGTGGTAATTCTGAGGACTTATGATGCTAAAGATTAGGTTTTAATATTCCATGTGGGCATGGCACAGATAGCCTATCATATAGCTTTGCCCTTAATAACAAACCAAAATAAAACACAGGTTTTACAGCAATCCTTAATGGCCAACCATTTTGTACACTATATAAAATACCCTGCAGTGAATGTGGAAGTATTTACAAACAAAAAAATGATTTAATTATCTTTATGTAATTAATGAACACACTTAAGTTGTTTGTTGTTTAAATGCCAAATACTGAAGAAATATTGGAAAACCAATAGGTATACTCGTAGGGACTTACAACTCGAGACAAACAATAACGATGGGAAGAAATATGAAATACAAATTAAACAATAAAGATAAAATAATAGCATTTCAATACCTAAAGATCCTCTTGGGATGACCATGCACGTTATTCTTCATTGTTTATTTAACTAATACCTTTAATTTCAATCTCAAATGGACAAATTATGAGAAACGTGGAAAACAAGACTTCAGTTAACTTGTTTTTAGGCTATCACTTAAATTCTTTTAAACATTCTACAGGAAAGAAGACGTACTTGTTTTAATTTATGGTGATGATCTGTCGTACCTTATTATCCTGATAACAAAAACATTTATGTTTATAATAGTTAATGTAAACCACTAAATGTTTTAAACAAAACTTGAACTTTGTTTCTCTCCCCCCTTCAGTGACCCATCGATACTGGACGAATGTGAGCTTGACGAAAAGACCAAAGAGGTTCTTCTAAGTAACATTAATCAAAGACTTACTCCTCAGTCTGTGAAAATAAGAGCTGGTAAATTTATCTTTTCTTAAAGTTACTACATTCAAAGTAAAATTCAATACATAATTTTCTCTCTCTGTCAGTTATTAATGAATTTATTTTGTGTTATCTGAATAAGAATAGACTACTTCCTGTGTTGTTACAAGGAATAGGATAGCCTACTTCCTGTGTTGTCACAAGGAGTAGGATACACTACTTCCTGTGTTGTCACAAGAAATAGGATACACTACTTCCTGTGTTGTCACAAGAAATAGGATACACTACTTCCTGTGTTGTCACAAGGAGTAGGATACACTACTTCTTGTGTTGCCACAAGAAATAGGATACACTACTTCCTGTGTTGTCACAAGGAATAGGATACACTACTTCCAGTGTTGTTACAAGGAATGGGAAGGTTTCTTAAAAACACGATTACTTGCTGTACAACCCTTGGTTCATTTCTGCAGCACGGGGGGAAGTCAAAAGTCCCAATTTTTCCCTGTTGTGAAGTAGGTATAGAATATGGTCCATTGTTTATCTAACATAGTATCCTGATATAGAGGTCAATCAAATGAAACTCAATATGAGATAAAATTGTATCACACAAGTATATCAACCCAGAAACCTTATACTGTGACAGGTAAAAAATGGCCCCCCAATACTACACCTATCAGCAGATTTTTGATATTCCATAAACACTTCATAACAATTGGAAAAATTGTGACTTTTGACTCGCCTTGTATTTAACGTGTATATGCATGTGTAGATATACTGAATATCGAAACCTCTTAATGTAGATTTTCCTAATTAGACTGGAGCAGTAATTGGACGATCAGGATTGTTTTTTTGTTTTTTTCCTATAGATATTGAAGTTTCTTGTTACGGATACGAAGGGATCGATGCTGTGAAAAATGCTCTCCGTGCCGGAATAAACTGTTCGACAGAATGTATGCCTGTAAAAGTAGGAAATTCCCTTCACTCGACTAGCTGTAAATTGTTAGCCTAGTCGTATCCTTATCAATATAAATATACCATATTTAAAAACTGTAGGAGGAGATAATTTAAGTACATATAAATCAGCTGGTTAACGGTGACTATCTTTGGTGACTGTTGTTTTTTTTCATAAAAATTATATATTGTGGATGCCATATTTTTTTATGTAAAATCAATACAATGAAAAATATACTAAAATGGATTAAACTGTTTAGACAAATCATCCTATGTATATTTATTTTGGCAAGTTTGTGTGCAGAGGTTTCACTGGAAGTTTTACTTGGGGATGTTTATTTGTTTTTTCAGGAAAATTTTAGCTTCTGATTTTTATCAAGATATTAAAGTTATTCACCACTTTATGATAACCTAAGCCTATCACTTTCAAATTGTTTAGTTGTTGTTCGTCACTAGGTTTAAGTTGGGAAAGATCGTAATGATTGGCACCTTATATGCAGGTTAATTAGTTTGTAATGAATCTTTTATTATGCATTAGTATCAGAATTTTTAAAAAACGGGGTGTTTACTATAAGTTGAACAAAATTGAATACAAAAATTCTAAAATGCCAGGCCCAATACACCTGAACTATAAACTTCTGACTCAACAATATAACCTTGACACCAGAAGTTGGAAAAAAAGAAAACATTCTCAAGTATCTGGGTTATGTATGATCCTTTTATTTGCTACCAGATGGCAGGATGATTATTGGTTAATAACAAAACACTTGATCGACGTGACTACGCCTACTGTGACAAATACAGCAACATCCAGTTTCAGTCATTAGGCCTCACTGTGAGAAATACCATTACAGCTAACCCTAACTGGCACAAACTAAATGATAGAGAAAAGGTACATATAATAAAAAAAATGAAGGAATTCTACCTCACAAGTTTTAACTTTCATATAGATGGATATTATATTTAATCAACTTTGGGAGTTTGTCTTAAAACTTTATGAAATAGCTCTTTCCCTTTATAAGCAGTTAAATGATCTTACAAAGTCTAATTCAGTTGTCATTACAGTTGAACTACTTTATTATTTTCAGTTTTAGCAGTTGTTAAATTCTGATCAAGCAGTTAGCACACAGGATTACATACATTGTCTTAAGATGTGACCCAAAACTCGAGAGCTTTCGAATAGTTCACTAGTTATAAAAGTAAACTTCTGGTGTTTAGTTGTTGGTGCCAATTTCATTTTTCAGGATTTAATAGTGATGACATAGAGGGTTTATCTAGTTGTTCTCTCTCTATGTTATTTAGATCAACCTAATAGCACCTCCACTTTACGTCGTCACCACCACCACGATGGAACGGCCAGAAGGTTTAAAAGCATTGAGCGAAGCCATTGACAAAATAGAACAAGCTATTCGGACCTCTGGTGGTGTCTTTCATGTCAAAAATCCTGTACGTAAATATTTAAAGATGTGTCTTTAACCACGAAGAGTTTTGTGTATCCTGGTAGCATTAAAATTAGTTATTTATACTTTTAATAAATTTTGAAATACAGTTACTTCATTGTTTAAATTGAAAATAACTGTTAGATTGGTAATTATTTAGCCAGTATTTTATGGATAGGAATTATTCGACATTTTCTTAAACTGTAGTTTGATTAACTGCAGTGTTAATTTTCTCTGATAAACAAGTTTGAACCAGTTTAATTTTTGCTTCGGATACTACTACTGTAAACCTCTGTGTAAAATTTACAAACAAATTAGTGATGACTAATTAATATTACCTGTCAGAATTGTAAAGTTTTTTTTTTTTACTGTTAGCCGAAGGTCGTAACCGAAACCGATGAAGTGGAACTGGCTAAGCAACTGGAAAGACTAGAAATGGCCAATGCTGAGGTAGCAGGTGATGATGATGATGAAGAAGCTGGAAGTGAAGATGAGGAGGAAGGAGAAGAACAACCATAGATTAATGTTACTTCAGAAGGTGTTAAAACATTTCTAAATATCACAGATTTTCCAACATTTTTTTCTGGGTTTTTGGACATAATTAAATTCGTCTAAGGTGTTAGAAAAGTAAACAGTTTTTTCCCGATTGTATTAATACAGGTGTACAGTACTGAAGTTTAAGAGATATTCACAAGGATGAAAAAACATTCAACAATTAATCTCTTCGTGAGTGGAAAGTCTGAATTGTAAAGGTACGTGAAGTACCAAGATGTTACTAGTTGGCCGTACTGCATTTAGTTTCAAACTTTTTTTAACCTCAAAGCCACAGTTGAGCATCAGCTAATTTGTGATGACAGTGATAAGTTTTTTCAGCATTGTTTGGTACATGCTTCTAAACTGTTCAACCGATCTAATATTTATATTATTTGATTTTTGTAATTTTAAACAATGTACAAAAGGTTGAAACAGTAACCCAGTTTTAGTGCAAGGTTTCTATATTTGATATCCACTGAATAACAGAAACTAATAATTTTACACAATATTGTGATCTTTCTGGTCTCGCTTTGCTACATTTTTCTTGGGATAAACCTTTTATCAGTTTCAATGCATCTTTAAAAAGATATAATTGGTTTAAGGTAAACTATTTAAAATGCTTGTGTTATTATTATTATAGCAGTAAAGGTATAATCTCTTTCCTCCAGTGAAATGTTGGAAGATCAACGTTTTAAAAACAGTTCTGTCATTCTGCAACGCTGGGTTTCCAAACTTTGTTACATTCAAGTGGTTTTTCTGGGGCCAGTTCTAATGTTTTTTTATATCATTATTTTATGATTAAGTTTATAATGAAAAAAATGCTTATGTTTTACTATCTTATTCTGTAATCCACAGTTTGGTAACACGAGGGTCCTAAAATTGTCAAGCCACTCCCCCTGCCCCATTTCTTAAGTAATTAATAACAACTAAGAAGTGTATCATTCGAGTAAAGAAATGTTACTTTTTCTTTTAAATATTTCATAATTTAACCAATTACAAACTTCACTGTAGAGGAAGTAACTGTTGTGCCTTTCCAATTTTATAACCCTCCCCCAATTTTTAAGACATGTTTTTACCAAGAAACACTAGAAAATTCACGTGCGATGTTATATAATTTTTCACGTATATTAATACATAACAGTGATGAAATTCTAACATTCACAATTATAAGGATAATTCTGGTCTTAAACTACACATAAAATAAAATTTGTATTCCAAATGTTAGGTTTAATATATTTAAATGGACTGTGAATAAAGGCTCTTAAATACCTAGAAGTTATTTTCCGATATATTATGAAGTATACATGTTAATCCCCCACGGCAAATTAATAGGTGTTTAAAGTTCAATTAGCTTAATTGTGCGGTGTAATTCTAAGCTGTTATTTAGTGCAAGTCAAAGAAAGAAAAATTTAAATGTTTACTTCACACTGACAAGTAATTTTAATAATAATAATAATAATACAATTTACAATAGTATTCCATTGGAACTAAAATACAGAAAGTTTATGATACAATAAAAACATATTTTTTGGTATTTCTACTCTTGTTACCTAGGTTTGAAAGTAAATGACTAAAACCGTCACTGTTATTCCTCGAAAACAAAATACACATACTCCCTCTCACAACATTAAAGTATGAAAATAAAATAATAATTAAAAGTGAACTTAAAATAAGATAATGTTCCCTTAGGAAAAAAAAAAGTTTAACATAATGTCTGGTTTACATGGGCCAGGTAGTATCAATATCATACGAAATATGCTTGGCATGATTAATTTAATATGGTTAATTTCACTGGAAGAGCTAACCGCTTGTTTGTTTTAGAAGAATTTCAGTAAAATTATTACAAAACTTATGTCCGATCAAATGAAAAATGTTTTACAACAAAATTGATAACGTATGTTTTTTTTAAATTAAAAAGAGGTTATAAACACCAAATTATATACGTGTCAAGTCTTTGATCCAACGTCCCGAGTAAACTATCAAATGGAAAATAACACCGAACATAAAAAAAAAAAAAAAACATACGCCAATGTCGTATCACTGCGTGAATTTCTCGCGAGAAAAACTGGAGAAACAATAGAACTAAAATATCAAATGAATTTCTAGAGATTGTACGAGACAAGAAATTTACAGAAGTATTTATCTCAAGAAGTTAAGAAAACATCAATATAAAGAAGAAAATCTAGTTGGGAACTTGGCATCGTAAAATGAAAATTAAAGCTTTAGAAATATAAGCAAGTTACTATTTAACAAAAGTAAATAAAGATAACGATGAAACGACCGGAAATTATTTTAACAAGAAATTGGGATGAAAATTGTAAAAAATCTGGGAAAAGTAAATCAGTTTTGGAAAGACAAAACTTTTTTAAAAAACAATACACGTAGCAATTATGCCAAAGAATTTGAAAAAAAAAGTCTTACATCCTTGTGTTGTAAATAAATAGAGAAACAACCAGGTATTATTCTGTTGGAAATTCTTTAAAAAGCTAAGTATTTAAATACCACAATTTCATGGTAGTTTCAACAATTGTATTAATCCTAATAATATTAAAAATAAATGACCTTATAAAAAATAAGTTTTTCTTTAATTGGACACACAACGTTTCGTTTTATAGCTTATCAGGAGCGTTACACTAAAACATAAACCGTAACTGACGGTATAAAGCAGTACAGATACGGTTTGTTTTAATAAAACGTTGTGTCCAGTAAAAGAAAAACTACTATTTGATGTTATAAAGTCGTTTAATTCTAGTATTAAAATATGCACAACAGAAATTAAATATCTCAAAAACGTGAGAATTTTTTTGCCCAAGTTTTTTTCGTATAACTTTAGCCAACAAGTAGCAACAAGAACCGTTTCTGTATAAAATAAACTGCTGAAATACTAAAGTTGTTAGTTCTGTAATCCGGATTCTGAGAACAAAAAAATTTACTGTACTCACATGATAACAAACAGCCAATCGATTTGTTTTCCTAGCCCGTAACGCTTGACATAAAAATTAACAGTCACTTAAATTTGTTTTTAGGACAGTATCTTATGGTGTGGGCAGTATCTCCTCCTCCGTTTTGACAAATTGGACAGTTGTACCGCCTCAAAATCGGGCAGACGATCTTACCACCTGGATTTCTCAGCACGTGACTCTTATAAAAACGCGCCTCTTCACCATTGTTTTTGCAAAATACACATTCTTGTGGTTTCTTCTTGCGTTTTTTTGGAGGCCTTTGGTGACTGGTTGGACTCTGTACAGTTAAAAATTCGGAATCCTTTCCGTTCTGCACAAAGTCGCTGCAAACGTAATCTATAATGATAAAAAAGTAAAATTCTACAATATCTTTGACGTTAGAAGTCGGCGCCGTTTGGAATTTATACAACTAAAATATAGGACTTACGTATATTTCCAAAAACATGTTAAGAGAAAATTAAGGCAATAGTACACGGTGACCGATACTTAATAATCCAACATTATGTCTTCCTTCCTCCCCTCTAGGCCAAAATAGCTACTATCTTCCGTTTTAACCTCACACACCTGGTTGTTTCATAAGTTTAACTATAAGTGAAATTAGAGATTTTATAAAAAATGGCTTACTTTTGAAAGTAAAATTTCAGGGCTAGTGGAGTGAATAAAACAAATTACTAAAAAAAAGTGGGTTGCTCTAATAAAGGGGACACATACTATTAACCAGGTTTGTTGTTAAGCGCAAAGCTATATAACAAGTTATCTACGCTCCGCCCACCCTGGGAAATAAATCCCGATATTTAGCGTTTTAAGGCCTCGGAATAGTTTACTGCAGAGCTCTGGGCGATAAAATAGTTAAGTTTAATGTGACGTTAGAACAGTGGACAATTTGGATGTTTGTCGATCACAAACAGTAAATGTAGTAAGAAAAAACAGCAAATCACACGCTACGTTTAATTCCGATATTAATTCACGTTCTGTGAAGATGTTTTGGAGCTAGCAGAGCCAAACTTTGACAGGCGGAGTTTGTGGCTACAACACGTCCGGTAGGCTACCCAGGCTTGATAGCGGTGTAATTGTTCAGAATTGTGTACTTGCCGAATACGAAAATAGCATCGGATTTTGGGTTCCTTATAGATTATAGATTGATTTGTAACTTACTATAATATTCGAAAAAGTCTGATTTGTTTTCTAACAAAATTTTAAATTTTACAATATGGTATATTTCTGATAAAGGGTTGAAAACTATGGGCCCTTTCGTGTTTCATACTACGGTATTTATCGTAGTAAACAACGGAAAATGCCGATACGCCGATAATAAATTACGTAATTCCTAGAACTCCGTGGGTCGCCTTCACTTTTTAATTTGACGACAAACATGTGAAATTAAGGTGAAAAGTACATGTTAATGCGTAATAACAAAACATGTAACAGTAACTTTTAAAGGTAAGTACCATTTTTTTTCTTTTACTCCTCCGAAATTTAAACAGACATTTTTAATAATTAGGGAATTTTATAAAAATGTGGAACTAAAATTGTTGTATTACGAATCTCGGCGAACGAAATGTTTATAACTTACTCGTTTGGTGTCGAATATTCAGGGAATCTAAAGATCTCAACAATTTCTGCATTTCGTCCACTAGAGACAGATTCGATGTGGGATAAAGCGATGACAAATCGACTGGGAGACCGTATCTAAACGCGTCCATAGTCGCCTCTTGTATCGTATCGTTCCGCGCGACCTGGGAGTGTCAGGTTTTCTAATACTCGCCTCGTAGTTTACGGTACCGCTAACTTAAAACGCCACACGACAACCGTATTTGTGAGTTGGCGTTGGAAGCTTGGCCAATCAAAACTGGTTAGTTTCTTGATTGGTTACGAAATAAAGAGGCGCAACTTTAAGGTCACGTGAATCACTTTGTTTTATATTATCATAATCATAGTGCTAAGATTATTATAATTTGTCTGCTGTTATCGTGTTATAAGAATAAGGTTGTCTCTCAACTCGTGCCCCTTGGGGGCTTGTTAGATATAAAACGTAAATTACTGCTATGCTAGTTAGTTTGTGTTTTTTTTTTTCACTTTATATTTTGTATTTTATGGTAAACACAAATTTTACATATAAATAACGTTTTGAAATGAATTTTAAATTTTTCTAGTTTCAAATTCTCTTAAAAATATAACAAAAAGCTAAACACACACACTTTGTGAGGTTTTAATCATCAAACCTATAAAAAATATTAAATTTTAACTTGATTTGTTTATATACACAAAACGTTAATCCAAAGAAACATTTCCAAAGAAAACTTTAGCAACACAGTTACGTATGACTAGGATTACATTTCGGAAGTCTTAACTGCTTTAATTAATCGTATTCAAACACGTCACGTGATTTTACAAAATTAAATCCGAAGATTAAACGCTGCTGTTTTCGCTTGTCTCCTAGGTGCAGTCACACGATAACTTGCAAGTGTTCAGTTAGACACCAGGAAGAAAACACGAAGTAAATCAGATTATTTGGATAATATTTGGTTTTGTATGAAAAAAAAGCAAAAAACAGTTGCGTTAAACGCCACTGTCCATCTAAGTACAAACTTCATATTATAACGCTCATGACCGATGGGGTTCATATATGGTATTATATACCGAATAATTGTACGCTTTTGTCTGTTACAAAAGTGAATTATTTTATTTTCCATATAAGATACGGAACCACAAGAGTGATTACTGGAATTAACTGTAATAATTACGTGTTGTTGTTGTTTTTCTGTTACTCGTTTATTACTATGGTCAACAATAAATCTGCAAATTGGTAGATAATGAGATTAGAAAAATTATTTTACAAAAAGCTGATGGGGTTGATTATGGGTCAAAAAAGAATGTTTACTAAAGTATCATTAGCTGTGTGAAAACGTAAAATGTTTTGTTAAGTCAAAAGCCCCACGATTGGCTTATTGCGCTGCCCTGTGGCCGCCGCTAATACCAAGAAGTCACCAAGGTTATAAACTTTCAAGCTTGACGCTGAGCCACTAGGGGGTTACGCTGCCTTTGGAAACGTTCGGAGATAGATTTAATGTAAAGCTTGAGAAATGTTCGATATTTAAATGAATTTATTAAATAATGAACTGGAATATTTTGCAGTCTAGGAAAAGAAATCAAACCATTAATGCTTATATTCTGCATAGATAGTCCAGAGGGTGCATTATCAGATTTTACTTTTATCTTACACGTTACACTAAACCTATTAAGTCGCGATTATTATATTTACATTTTTATTTACCGCCCCGCCCCTTTACCGAGGCTCTAGAGCCGCGA